ACAAATAAATCAAGGAAAAATAATACTTTTAGGATACACGATTTAATTAAGTTTGTATTACGAAAATATCAGGTTATTAATCTTATAAAAATGAAGAATTATATCTGAGAATATTCTTTGTCTCATTGCCTTGCATAATTTTCATTTATTTCAAGGACGATCGAAGAAACGAACGTTGAAATTCTTCTAATATCTTTTATTTCATTTTTTCTTAATATAATTTACAAACTTGCTTAACTCTCCTATGTATCTAAAAATATAGATGCTCGTGCAAGACGTAAACTGATAACGTAGAAAATAACAGGACGCTTGAATCGCCCGCGTATTTTGTAATTGTTCCCGCGGACGGAATTCGTTGTACATAGTATATTGTACATTTCCATATATCACTATACATTAGGTATTGTTTAAAAATAGTACAAAATATTTTAATTCCTTTGTCTTCCACACTAAACTACGTTTCGCTCGAATCTCTTTCTCGCGCTCATGCATTCACAGTTTCTCGCGCACAGGGAATTTCGTTTCTTACGTTAACGTGTATCTCGAAATTAAACATTGCAACGTCGTTATAGATCTCGATTTATGTTTTCAGTCGATGATTTTATGAAAATTTCATTTGTGCTACCGGTTTTGCAAATCCGCTGCTTCTCGACGATCAAAAAAATCCTTTCTTTTTTTCGTAAACGTTACGACTCTGATCGAGTAACCCTTTAAATGGTCAGCGAAACTATCGAACCACTTTCAATAATTGTAAGCTTCGAACTGCGAATAATTTTGAATCCTTCGAAAGTGGGCACGAACGCAAGTTAAATTGTATAAAGTTGTAAAAAACAAATGAAAGGAAAAGACACACGACATCCATCGCATATAATTAGTATTCGGTTCTCCTTAAATAAATAATTTTTCATACTATAACTATGCTTGGCAACCATTTCTTCATTTTTCCTCCGCCTCTTATACAACGAAGGGGGAAAAACGATCCTAATTTATACAATTCACGTTGTCGTAATACATTTAGAATCGTCAGTATATACAGATACCATTTTTGCTACTTAATCGTAAGTCGGGATTAAAAAAATTAATGGCTACATGATTATTTTATATCGGAGACATGAACGTCGTGGCTTCCATATTTACAAGCACATAAATAATTGCGTTTAAGTCGCACCAACGGAGAATTTACGATTATTCGCAGTTTAAACTTACTCTTTGTACAGTGGTCGAAATTCAGTGGTTTTTATCAAATAAACTACGGATTGTTCAGACCTGAGTCGGGCAAATTTCATTTCTAAACGAGTACAAATTCTAGATCCATTTATAAACTGTTCTTTTTCCTGTTATAGAGTTCCAGGTTAAAATAATTTATAATCGAATTTAGAATTCCCCATTCGTTGTCATAAATCGATAAACAAAATTTTTTTTTTGTAGACAAAATGTTTATGCATTTATGGGAAATTTTAATTGTCAGAAAGCTACAGGATGCACTTGATATGCAACGATTACTAGGTTTAGTAACGAGTACATATTCTAGATCCATTTATAAACTGTTTTTTTTCCTGTTATAGAGTTTCAGGTTAAAATAATTTACGATCGAATTTAGAATTCCCCATTCGTTGTCATAAATCGATAAACAAAATTTTTTTTTTGAAGACAGAATGTTTATGCGTTTATGGGAAATTTTAATGCTCAGAAAGGTACAGGATGCACTTGATATGCAACAATTACTAGGTTTAGTAAAAGATCCATTTATAAACTGTTTTTTTTCCTGTTATTGAATTCCAGGTTAAAATAATTTACAATCGAATTTAGAATTCCCCATTCCTTGTCATAAATCGATAAACAAAATTTTTTTTTTGAAGACAGAATGTTTATGCATTTATGGGAAATTTTAATTCTCAGAAAGCTACAGGATGCACTTGATATGCAACAATTACTAGGTTTAGTATCGAGTACAAATTTTAGATCCATTTATAAACTGTTTTTTTCCCTGTTATAGAGTTCCAGGTTAAAATAATTTACAATCGAATTTAGAATTCCCCATTCGTTGTCATAAATCGATAAACAAAATTTTTTTTTTGAAGACAGAATGTTTATGCGTTTATGGGAAATTTTAATGCTCAGAAAGGTACAGGATGCACTTGATATGCAACAATTACTAGATTTAGTAACGAGTATAAATTTTAGATCCATTTATAAACTGTTTTTTTTTCCTGTTATAGAGTTCCAGGTTAAAATAATTTACAATCGAATTTAGAATTCCCCATTCGATGTCATAAATCGATAAACAAACTTTTTTTTTTGTAGACAACATGTTTATGCATTTACGGGAAATTTTAATTGTCAGAAAGCTACAGGATGCACTTGATATGCAACGATTACTAGGTTTAGTAACGAGTACATATTCTAGATCCATTTATAAACTGTTTTTTTTCCTGTTATAGAGTTTCAGGTTAAAATAATTTACGATCGACTTTAAAATTCACCATTCGTTGTTATAAATCAATAAACAGAATTTTTTTTTTGAAGACAAAATGTTTATGCATTTATGGGAAATTTTAATTGTCAGAAAGCTACAGGATGCACTTGATATGCAACAATTACTAGGTTTAGTAACAAGATCCATTTATAAACTGTTTTTTTTCGTGTTATTGAATTCCAGATTAAAATAGTTTACGATTGAATTTAAAATTCCCCTTTCGTTGTTATAAATCGATAAACAAAATTTTTTTTTTGAAGACAAAATGTTCGATCGTGGTTTAGATAATATGACCGCGGTAGTTTATGCGTTTATGGGAAATTTGAATTGTCAGAAAGCTTGATATGCAATTACTAGGTTTAGGGGTTGATACGACCAATGTGAGAAGCTTCCGTTTCGTTAGTTTTGTTAATAAAACTCTGAGTATCGTGAAAAATTGAAGAAGTGTATGCGAACGCGGGTCCATTGAAAGGGTTTGGCGTCGAGCAGCGTAAAACGAGAGGAGTCCGACTCACGAATTCCACAGAGACCCTTTTTTTCCCCTCTTCTGGTTGAAATCCGTTGGAAAGAAAACGCGTTCCGTGCGGTAGTAAAGTCGGCCGTAGGATCGTTGCGGTTGGACGGTGGGATCCCGTGGGTCACAAAAGGACTCGTAATGATCCGCCACGGCTGAACGGGAGAAGAAAAAAGAGAGGCAGGCGTTTTGGTCTAGGGTCAGGGATATATTTTTAGAAGGGAGAGCAGGTACCACCAAAAACCAAGTAGCTTCGACATCCTATTGCACCTGTCACCCGTGGCAACGGTGGCACAGGTTGCTCCCGTGGCCACGAAATTTGCATTACCCCCTCCACGCGATATATCGCGGACAAAGAAGGCGTTCACCGTGGACCGTTGCTTGTTTTTCTTTTTTTCTTTTCTTTTCTTTTTTTTCCCCCATTTTTTTTCTTTTCTTTTTTCCTTTCATTCCGACTCCCTTTCTCTCGCCGTGGGAGCTCCTCGTAAAAATCGTTCCTCCGTTACGAACTTTGCGCGTCATCGTGAGTATCTTTTTGTCGCTACCAAAGGCACATTTCAGGCGTTTGTCTGGATTACTATCGTTCCGTAACCTAACGTCCAAGATCCCTCTCTCGACAACACGAAGGAAATCTACTTTCGCGTTTCGGGGGGATCGTAGATCGCGCACCTTATCCTTTTTTCTTTTTTAATAGTAATTTATACTCATTTCATGCTCATCAGAAAACTCTCGCGAACGTTACGAATGTACAGTTCGTTTTTTCCAAAAATATATTCGATTGTTCGATTTTGAGGCGGTGCAACAAACGCGTAGCGAGTAAATAACGTTATTATTAGACTGCGGATTTTTATACAAATTCACATTTTTATTAATAGAATTAATGAAACGTAAGCTTCGCAGAGGGCTGTCTCAACCCCTAAATATAATAATTCGTATCTTACTTTAAGTATTTCTAAAATTTTCCATAAATGCATAAATATTCAAAGTCTACCAACAACACGAAAATTAAATTCTAATTTTATATTTTACTTTCAATCATAGCTAGATTTGAACTAAATTCTCGAATAAGAAACGAAGTTTTTAGCTTCGTTGATAAATTCTAGATCATACATCATTCTGTGTCGTTTCTGCTAGAAAGCAAACATTTCTTATATTTTTGCATATTAAATGCGTTCTGTAGCTTTTCGAGGATTAAGATTTCCCATAAATGCATAAACATCCGCAGTCCAGTTATTATAGTCTTTTCTTTTCCTTATATTCGAATAGAATTTTGAACGGGCCGTTCAATTGGGTTCTCTTTTCTTTCCGTATTTTCGTGATAACTCGAGCGAAAGAAAAATCTCAAGATTGCACGGTTCATTTGTGTTTTAATCTAATAAACGAAAACTTTCGTTAGTACGCGACGCGTGAAATGGAATTGAGTGTTCCAGCGTTGATTAAATTTTTTAAACGTATACTTTTATATACAGAATTACGCGGTTAACGCAATTAATTATCGAAGTTAATGCATCTCGATTGTTCTACATTGTACTTTTTTCCATCTTTATCGAACTTCTTCCGCGATTATGGCCAGAACGTTTCGCATCAATCGACAATGTTGGACGATTTGGTGAATCAAATCATATCACGCAACAGCAAAAATATTGTCACGATTTTCAATCATCGCGTTCCCAAATATTTATGCGTTTTAATAATTCGTTATTCGATGGCGGTAAATCAACAATCACGTGGATACACATGTTTTTTTTTTTCTTCTTCCAACGTATGTACAAAAGTTATAAAAATCTCTATTTACCAACGTACACATTCTATTAAAAAATAGTTCATAATGGCTATAAAAAAATAAAGTAAATACTTGACGTACTTAATTCTTAATAAAAAAAAAAGAAGAATCGTTTAAACATTCGACGTGTGCGTAACGTCGACTAATATCGAAATAAAAATAAGAATTTCACCGACGAACCTCGAAATATAAAAATATATTTTTACATCCATTTGCTAATATCAATTCGTGTCGTTCGATACTCGTGACAATATTCCTACCGCGGTGTAAACGTTTCTCACCATTTTGGCACTTTTTTTTTTGTCCGTCACCGATGCTCTCCGACACGCGAGGCTAAGAATCTAAATAAGCATAAGTCCACAATCTCACCCAAAGTTTTTACAAATCCAGGTAGCTCGTAGAAGGTTACTGTACACACTTAGCTACGCATCGACCACGTTCAGTACAACAAGCTTTTCAACAAATTCATCGATCATCGTGCAGATATCGCGGCGCCTAAATCCCTGACACGCACTTCAGGTAGTCTGGTCTTGAACACTGGGGAAAAACTTCCTTTTGCATTTTCTTGAAAATAAAGCTGTTTTGTACATTTTCAAATCGTACGTCAAACTTTAGAGCAAGTTTGGGTTAGATTCGAGTCGACAAAATGGAATTACATGCTCTGTACATTATCAAATCGTGAGTCAAACTTTAGATCAGGTTTTTTACAACAATATTTTCCAAACTGTTGTCTACGATATTTAAAGATTTAATTGGTCGAAACTTTGTATACATATATCCCTCGATAGAAGGTTCTATTGTTGTTGCAAAATAAAGACTTGTATTCTTTAATTACAAATACATTGTAAAAGCAAATTAAAACTATCGAATGATACGATGTATGTATAAAACATAAAAGTTACATTTGGAAAATGATCAAACCGACTAAAAGAACCCAAGAAGCCACAAGCTTCATCAATGCTTCTCTGACGTTCTCCGATACAATATAACTCAAAAATGAACAATCATTGATGTTTGACATAGTTGTAAATATGTATGCAAAGTTTTCTTTTAAACGAAATCTAAATTTGTGCTCTCTGGACCAGACTACACCAGTGGCTCTCGAACAAAAGTTCGAGAAAAGGCACAGACCAATGGGAATATGCGCGTACATCGACCACGTCTCGAATCTAGATCCTTTTCACCACCTCGATCTCGACTCGATAGCATGTTCCTGATCCAAGAACCCTTTCAGACTATCGACCGTCCCCTGGACAGGGGCTTGCATTCTCGAGACGTTCAATCTTCTTCGATCATTCATATAAACAAAATTATTCTTCGAATTCACGAATATAACTCGTACGTGGAAGCCCAATTTCGAATAAAACCTCTCGATTTGTAGAATCGATAATCCGAAAGAGCCCTCCTAACTACCTGGACTCCTCCCCTCCCAGGAAGCCCTTCTCGTCGTCCATAGCAAACCTAACCGCTCGGACGAAAGCAAGCAAACGTGCAGCACGAGTCCCTCCCAGGTCGACTGACGATCAGAGCGGTATTTTGGTATTCCCTATCGTCGCATGATGTCGGCGATGGTGAATCCTTGCCTGGCCGGTGCTGGCCTGGGCGGCGGCGGTGGCTGGGGGGTGGGCGCCCTGGGTGGACGCGACACCACCTCCTCGTCCCTGTCGCGTTCCCTCTCCCTGTTCTGCTCGATTTCGCGTTCCCTCTCGCGTTCCCTCTCGCGTTCCTGCAGCTCGAGGAGCACCCTCGAGGGTCCCGGCGAGCCGATTCTTCGTCTGTACGACGTCAGGATCAACGACGGCGGCGTTGGGTGGGCGGGTGGCGGGTTCTGGGGGACCGTGTGACCCCCGATCGCGGCGCTGGTCACCGTGGATGGTTTCGCGGCGGGCAACAAGTCTCTTCTGATCTGCAGCTGCGGTCTCTGCGGCAGAGAGGACGATCCAGCTGGGTTGGGTTGTTGCGGTTGCGACGAGGATCCTTGCGGCGCGTACGACGCGTTCGCCGTGGGGGCGGTCGAGAGGGAGGAATTGACAGACGTGGACACGGACACGGACGTGGACGTAGAGGTCGACGAGGACTCCGGACCGTCCTCCTCCGGGCTGTCGTCGTCCCTGAGGGCTTCCTCGAGCGCCTCCGGGGGCACGTCGCCCACCGCGTGGGTCAGCGCGTGCCTCCTCAGGTCGCAGTTTCTGCGGAACACCTTGCCGCATGACGTGCACTCGTACGGCTTGTGGTCCGTGTGTGTGAGCAGGTGCGTCTTGAGGTTGCTGCGCTGGTTGAAGCTCCTGGCGCACACGGGACACTTGTGGGGCGACTCCTCCATGTGCAGGATCTTGTGCACCGCCAGGGTGCGGCTCTGGCAGAAACCCTTGCCGCACTCGCCGCACTTGAACGGCTTCTCTTTGCTGTGGATGTACCTGGAACCCGACGGAACACGATACCCGATGAACTCACAGCGTCCGGGAGTTAGTTTCGAAACGAGTCGCGCAGAAATAGAATAGAATGTTTAGAATAGAATTCTTAGTTTAGGAATTTTTAATAATCAGAAGAAAGACAATTTACCTGTGGTCCCTCAGGTGATCCTGCCTTCTGAAAGCCTTTCCGCAGATGTCGCAGGAGTACGGTCGCTCGTCCGTGTGGGTTCTCTCGTGTATCAAGAGATTGTAGGATTTCGTGAACTGACGGTTACAGAACTTGCAGATGAATTGCTTCTTGGGCCTGGACGCTCTTCCTGGCGCTCTCAGCAGCCTTCTGTCCAGGTGCTGGTGCGCCAGGGGTCCGCCCGGCGGGTAGAGCGCCGAGCCAGCGGGGAACGGTCCCGCGAATACCGGGTAGCCAGGGGGTGGCTCCAGGAGGGGCGGCGGTGGAAGTAGCAGGGCTCGCGCAGCCAGCTCTTTCCTCTTGTCCGCCATCATGGCCATGATCTCGTAACTGGAGGAGGACTTTCTGGCCACCGAGGTCTCCGAGCCGACCTCGTGTTCCGAGTTCGGCGTCGACGACGAGGACGGGGGCGGGCCGGTCAGGTGGGGATGCATTTCGCCGGGGTACGGCGCCAGGTGCAACCGCGACGGCACCACGGGCACGAACGCGGACGACTCGCGATGATGAGGATGACCCAGACCGGCCACCAGGCTGTGGCGATGATGGTGATAGGCGGCCAGGGCGCTAGATGGGTCGAAGCCTCTGGAGGTCGACTGTGCCGCTGAACCCGACGACGACGAGCCCGCTGTGGAGCCGGCCGACCTCGAGGAAGGACCAAGGCCCGGGTCCCGACCTCGGCTCGTCTCCTCCGAGACCGTGGCCGAGGCCGAGGCCGAGGCCGACGACGCCACGATGTCCGTCGGCATACCGATGACACCTGCAATCGAAACCACCATGGTAATCGATGAACTTTGGCACTCTGAGGTCAAATAATCGATGCATCGTGGGCCAAAGTATTCGTGGACAAAAGAAAATTGATTTCGATTTTAATTTGGGCGAATATTTGTCAAGTAATTTTGTTACCCCCTGCCTCTCACCTTGAGGCATGAAATTTATTTTATGCAATTACCTCCATATATGACACCTGCAATCGATGAACTTTGGCACTCTGAGGTCAAATAATCGATGCATCGCGGGCCAAAGTATTCGTGGACAAAAGAAAATTGATTTCGATTTGAATTTTGGGCGTAGGGAGAATATTTGTCGAGTAATTTGTTACCCCCTGCGCCTCCCCTTGAGGCATGACATTTATTTTATGCAATTACCTCCATACGACACCTGCAATCGATGAACTTTGGTACTTTGAGGTCAAATAAAGTGACTCACCGTGGGCAAAGAATTTTGAAATTAATTGATTTCTATTAGGATTGTTAGCAGGAGAATATTTATTAACTTTTTACACCCCCTGACGCGCAAATTTTATTTTATTTTTATGGAATATTTAGTGCTCGTTATTATGGAAAATTAATCCGAGTAATTCATGGGTACAGAGTGGTGTATCATGCGTTTATAGTTTTCATTCTCTTCTAAATATACCATAATTTGAAATGAAATTATAAAGAAAATGGACAGAAGCATATAAGAACGAGTTAGGTGTAATTAACTTTTAATGAACGTCTGAGAGAAAACTGTAAACAATTACTGACCTATTCACCAAACAAACATTTTACTTAAGTAAAATTACAATTAATGCTCACTATTATGGTGGTAAATTGACAAATAGAAGTATATCAGTCGTATTTTCTACTTTTGTACTTCTATACAAAAGTATAGACTTTCCTGTCGTTTCCTTAATTTGCAATATAATATTCGATGGTATAGGCACGTTTAAAAAGAAACTCCCAATCCGTGTAATGCAAGAAAGTAATGTTCTTTAAACATTATCGTAGCAAACAAAAAAAGTTATTATCCAGATTTTCGTGCAAGAACAATTTTTCTGAATCTTTGACACATGTCAGTACATAACAAAATATATTATAATCTAGAAATAAAGAGGACCATAGTCAATTTTCAATTTTATATAAAGGAATAATTTCGTGTTATACAGAAATTTCTGTTTCTAATTCCCACTGAAGTCGGTCGTCGAGAAAGGCGAAGCTTTAAAGTCATTTTCCTCGAACTTTCACGCTTTCCAACATTGTGAAAGCGATGTTTCGAAAACTACCGAATTACCGGACTTGAAATTTTAGTAATTCGTAACAAACCTGACAGGCCCATTCATATTATCAGAATTATAACATCATGTCATAGTTTTTTTATTACCAATAAAACCATTAATTCTGAAACAATTGCATAGGAGTTAGAAAGCAAACCTTTGGTGCGCCTATATTTTCGTGCAAATGTCTTATTATATAATTAACGACGTTAATAGCATTCATCCGTTTTATTCGTTCCATAGCTTATCAACATCCTGCAGTTAACATAGAATGAATTATTAATGGATGCTCACTTGAATAAGTTTAACGATGCCTCTTAAGACTTCCTTTTTTAATTAAAAAGGTCTGTTTAATTTCCGTAATTTTATGAAGATTGTATATCCTTAATTATATCGCTTGTTCGATTCGAGTTAACAGAATTCGTTCTGCGTAAAGCGAATAAAACTTTCAAAAGTTTTCTTCGTCGTTCTCGATTGAACAAATAAATAAAATCAGCTTCGAATTATCTCGAGATTACAAACAAGTCGTTTATCGGATACCAGAAACCGAACAATTCCGATTGTACGTAAAATTCGTTGCAACGGTATGGAATGTTGGTTCGATCGATGGTCGTTTCCTTTTTCTTGCAACCGACGAGGAATGTGTTTACATTGCTCATTATTTCCCTGGCACGTATACCACTCGAATATGTATTCCGTTATCTATAGTGCACGCTTCCAGAGAAAAAACATTTGACACGCTCGAAGACGAAATCCAACAAGGAGCGATATTCGAAGCGGCAAGATTATTAGCTTTAAAGTGACTTTCACGTTATTGCAAAACGGTAACGTGTACTTTGATTACGAAACGCCTTGGAAACACGATTCAAGGACTCCGAGTGGCGTTTACAACGCTTTTGAATACGATTTTTTTCCCGTTCCAAAACCGTTTAATAGGAATAAAGATGAATCGGTTCGTTGTGAAGGCAATAATGTTCATTTTCATGCCTAATTATTCCCTCGGTACTAAAACTCCACGCGACAAGGTTAAGTGTAAACCGCGTTAAACGTATCCGCCATCTTGCTACTCGGTTCGTACCTCTCGTTAAACGTCGTCGAGTATTGTTATCGCGTAATAAATACTGGCAGTTTTACGACACCCTCGTGGCTATCGTTGCAATTTTCTGAATCGCGGGTCCACCACGCGGCATACGTGCTACAAACAGTCCGAAAACCGTCGAGATACAAGTTAAACGTCCACGTGTTTCCAAGCCAGCGGATCGGTAGCTCCGAACCTGCTTCATCGTTGGTCGATAAAACATTCACGCGATCGTAAAGGCGGAGAGATAGTCGTCGACGACGATCCAGCGCAAATAAAAATATATAGCCTCGAGCGAGGGGCTCGGTGGAGTCGATCGACGGAATCACGCGAGCATATGGTTTATCCGGATAAATCGAGACTTCGATGCAATTTGATCCCGTGAAGTTAACCTAAAACAAAGGTGCACCGCGAGGCAAACAGAAATTAATTAACGAGAATTCTGGATGTACGTGTCGCGATCGATCGATCGGTACGAGCGTTGGCGAAACGTCGCGTGGATTTTTGTTAAACAATTTCCCCGGACGATACGTGGAACCCGTTCCCGTTTGCCAAGCCGCGTGCGTTCCACGAACGTGAACTGGTTATCTCGAGTCGAGCACACCTGCCAACATGGCTTCCGCGGACCCAGCGGTCACGGCTAGTCCCAGCGGCCATGTTGGAATCGCGAATGCCCACAGGAATGCAACGAACGTGGGGCCCCCACGAACGGTTCAACCCGGCTCCCGTGGGAACCCGAACCCCGTCGCGACGTCCTCCGCTACGCGGAATAATGCTCACCAGGTGCACGTCGGCCGAGAACGATTCCCGATCTCGCGTTTATTCTCCGCGAATGGTCCACCGTCGCATCTCCCGCCGTGATATCGCGATCTCGTTCACTCGATAGCGGACGTTGATCGGCTACATCGGGTCCTCGATCATCCACGTACAGTTAACCACCACACAAAACGGGATCCCACACTGGCGTGACACTGAAAACCGCACTGGGTGAGTCGGCGGGGGCCGCACGTAATCTTCGCGAATCGCGCCGCGGTCCTCGAGTATCGTCGCACCTACGAACAAGTATATCACACCGTGTATATAATCCTGCCTATAGCGGATCCGCGAAACGAACGATCTATATCGCGGGGACGGAACGAACGCGGAGAGACGGTCCCTTCTTTCCGGATCGTGGATACGAAAGAGCGCGCGGTTTACTGCGTGTCGGACGCCGCCAGGTAGGCTACCTCGGCGCACACCCACGCAGACCGTGGCACACGCATGGTCAACACGCACGCCCGAACACAGGTAAAAAACCGTCCACGGACTTGCCTGGGAGTCTTTTACGTACGGCTGCCGCTAGTAGCGCTGCTGCTGGATGCTGTGCGCCGACTGCCTCGCTCCTGGCCGACGCGACGCGACGCGACGGTGCGACAGAATCCGATGGAACCAGCCAATCGGAGTACAACCGAGACGCAGGAGAACCTGGAGCAGCCTCTAGAGATGGGACTGACAACCGAACGTACCGGTGTCCCTGATGGAACAAGTTTCCCTCCGTTCCGGACGTTTGACGAGCTACCATCGCGCTCCAATAACGATTTTTTCTCTATACAGGAGATCTCGTTTCTTTTCAGGGTTTTGATTAGATATCTGCTTCTATAAATAGAGATTTCAGGTGATTTTTTACTCGGTGTGTAGATGCAATGCACTCTTTAACAACAATTGTCTGGGTTATTTCTTAAATTTAAAAATTTAACCCTCTGCACTCCTACGTCGAATGTGACTCGAGTTTTTATCTCAGGAACTCCTTTGTCCAGTTCCAGTCGACATTTTTTCAAGTCCAAACCAAAGAGATAATAATTTTCACTGGATATATGAAAATTAAATATAATTGATTTTTCCTTGTTGTTCAATAACTTTTTTCTATACCATAAGACTATTTCATAGAAATTTTATTGTATTCAATTTGAAAATTTAATTATTGAAATATTTGTAAATAAAAAATTTAATTATATTTAATTATTGAAATATTTATAAATAAGAAATTAAATTATATTTAATTATTGAAGTATTTATAAATAAAAAATTAAATTATATTTATTATTTAATTTTTACACTTGAAAATTACAAAATAATTAACGTGAATTTCAAATAAAACACTTAAAAGCATTGGGGAGCAGCTGATAATAAGATTGAAATATAATTTGGAGTGCAAAGGGTTAAAAAGGCTGGATGCTACCTTAACTGCATCGTATCTTAGTTAATTTCGTTCGAAACACGAATAAATTCTTTTAAGTCTAGAAGGAATCTTCTTCGCGATTGAAGAAAAAATACACTGTATCACCAAATTTGTTCTTCTTATTTAATTTAACGTTGCTGGAACATCCCTTAACACTAGATTTACGGGCATTGATCGCACGTATATTTATCGATACCTTTCATGTTGACGATTACCTTAAAATACGATTTTTCTTTTAATTAGAATATGTATTCATGCCATTGCATTAATGAAATTCAGTATGAGTTGTTAAAAAATAAAATTTACGAGTTCTGCAATTTTAAATATGGAATCAAAGAATACAGAATACAGACCTAACCCAGACCTAACCCAGATTTAACCCAGATTTAACCCAGACCTAACCCAGACCTAACCCAGATCTAACCCAGACCTAACCCAGATTTAACCCAGACCTAACCCAGACCTAACCCAGATCTAACCCAGACCTAACCCATGTGTATACTGTATTACCAAATTGTTGTCTCCTTACTTAATTTAAGGGATTCCTCTGTGATGGATTTGACTGTTTAAATAGATGCATAGTTCTTCAAAAAATACAAATTAATTCTTCCCAATCTAGAAAGAATCTTCTTCATGCTGAAAAAGAAAATTGTTGATGCAGTATATTTTGTACTCTTGCGATGCAATTAAGGAAAAATAGAAAGAATTCGATGCAGTGCAGGGTGCATTAAATACGAAGAAAATAATTTGGCGATGCAAAACATATTGTGCCACCCTTTTTTTTCTTATTTAATTTAACATTGTTGGAGCATCCCTTAACTGCTCCATCGGGCATACCGATCTTTCTGGAACTTTTAACGATTTTTCCATACCTGGGAGATCTCGTTTTATCCGTCAGTTATCTGGGTTTTTACCAGACATTTGCTTCTATGATTTTAGATTTTATTTTTCAGGGAATTTTTATTCGGTGCGTAGACGCAATTTATATTTTTACCACCAATTATCTGGGGTTTTTTTACACAATCTTTTCTGTCTTTTTTACATTGTTATTTCGCATTCTTTTTATTTCGATCTTGTTTACTATCTTATCTCTAATCCATTTCTATCTTTGGTCTGCTATATATAGTTGCCCAGATACAGTAAACAAATATTTAGTTACCATGACCGTGTGTAAATACGTATGAAAATATCTACTCGTTTTCGGAATTGATAGGTAATTTTTAATAATTAGGAAGTGGTAGCTTTGCTTAAAATCGTTTCTGAGATCACGATTCTTATTAGACGAGCCATACAAAGACATACTAACATATATGGATAGCTGAGACTGATACTTGAAACTCGCAACATTAAAAAATTTTGCTTTACCAGTCCAGGTACAACATACAATCAAACAAAACAAAAGAAATATTTACTTATCACGGCCTTGTGCATGGTAAATATGTATAAAATCTTTACCTTCTTGTTTTCGAAATTGAAAGGTAATTTTTAACAATTAGGAGACCAAATTCAAGAAGTAAGCAGTAGCTTTGCTTAAAATCGTTTCTGAGATCACGATTCTTATTAGACGTACCAATGGTACACAAAACGCACAACAACATTTTTAAATTCTGCTTTACGAGAGAAAGTGGCGAATAGTTATGGTACCACCCAATATATTCGAGCTGAAATACATTAATCAATCAAGGACTGGCGTACGATTCTGAACACCGGAGAACCCGCGGCCTATTGAGACGTTCGTTGCGGTATTTTCCCATATTCAATAATCAATTATGTGTCTTCTCCTCTCGTACGGTTCTCGAACGGCGCGTATTTCGTTCGAACAGAACGTTATCACCTTAAAAAGCAGACCAGATTGGTTTACGAATTCCTGAGAAAAGAAATTTTTTATTTGGCCCCCGGGGGGAGTCTCTTTACAAATTAAACGAAACGCCTATTGCGCAAAAACGAATGAACAAAAGATATTTATAAGATTGGCGTGATCGATCGTGTGCGAAGTATGCGGCGTTACGAGACTGAAAGGTTCCCCTGCCACGCGCTAATCTAATCTAAATTGTAAAAGTATGTTTTAATTGAAGTTCCCGGTAGAACGGGCAATACTGGGAGCGGGTGATACAGGCATTAGATTCGCATTTACAGCTTAGGAAAGTAAGGCACCGGTTAATACAGTGTAATGAAATTAGATAAGTCTTCTATTTCTGGGAATGTATGAGATAACAGTCCTAGCAAGAAATCGAAGCGTCACTCATACAAAATATCCAAACATCGAACTACGAAACAGTATCGTCGAATTTCTCAGAGTGCTGTTCGAAATAAAAATTTTCAAATTTATTTTCCGAATTCTAAAATTAATCTTCGATCTTAAATATTCGGGGCACCTCGTAATTTCTTGTTTATACTGTTTCTATTAATATTTTAATAACAATAACGCACATTTCTATCGATGGTGCTCCAAGACGTTGACGAAACTACCGACACGTCATAATTACAATTATTTACGTGAAATCAATACAATTAGGTGTATTTATTTATATCAAAGAAATTAATAGATACTTGAAGAAACGTTCATTCGTTCCCTTACACAAAACTATAATTTTTGAAGATCCAGTCGATGTAACTTTTTCGCAATTTTCATTAGAGATTGTTTAACGAGACGCTGGTCGATCGTTAATGAGTTCGCCGGGGCAAGGCAATAAAATTCTCTATCCAGGTTCGAGTCCATCGCTAACAGAGACGTAGAGCAAAGGGGGCCAGAAACGAGGGAGGGAGATCCACGGGTATTCTATCTACCAGTACCTACGATGCGATGCCGCGCAGGTTGAACGCAGGAGGTTTAGGTAGGGACGTGGTATGAGGAACAGGTGCGTAATGCTAAGGTTCGGTGCCCCCCTCCCCAGTGATCAATAAACACCGACCATCCACGAACCACCGGAGCATCCTCGTTACTCCTTCAGCCTCCCCATCCCACCCACGTGGAAACGTTTCACCCTGTCCGCGATTCCGTTTCGATTTTCCCTGCAACGATCTATCCCGTTGGATGGTCCTGTACCTGGGGGATCGATATTATTTCCTGTTACGCCCTTTCATCCCCCCGTTCACGTCCATCGAGAGTTCTCGAGTGTCCACCGTTTGGAGTCCGGAGGGATAGATCGGGGGTCCATCGCGTTGTTCGTTATTTATCGAACGGTAGGGATCGCGTCACGCTCGAAACGCTCGAAACGCGTCGGTCCAGCGATGCATCGGAAGGTGAAAAATCGTGGGGCAGGTTGTTGGTCCACCTGTGGGGAACTCGCGCGGCGCCGGCACTGAAGAAGGAGATCGGTCGCTGGTGGGCGGGAAGGGGGAGAGGCCAGCGGCCAGAGGCACTCAGAGAGATCGAGTCTCGATCTTTCCTCTCTCCTTCCACTTTCGTGTCTCTCCATCCGTCTCTGTTTCACCATTGTCCAGCATCGTGGATCTCTCTCGCTCTCACGGTCAGGCGGTTTCTTTTTATTTCTTTCCGTCTCTTTCCGTCGGCCAGCAGCCGCCGACGCCCAGCCGGTTTTACACCGGCGAATCGATTCAATCGAGTGTCTCGGAGGAAACGAGGGCTGGGTGGTGGGTTCCACGGGATCCTGGATTTCGCTCCGTTTGCCCAGAACAACCCGCGTAATTGTACCGAACGACGTCGCGGCCCGGTTCGCGCCGTTTAC